ACCATTAAATAAAGACAGGGATAACAATATTGTTAAGATGTCAGTTCTACCAAATTATCTAAAGATGCAAACAATTCCTATCAAAATTCCAGGCCTCATATTGTGGAAATCAACAAAATAATTCTAAAATGCATATGAAATATACAGATCCAAGAATAATGAAAGTTCATAAACCCCCAGATATTGAGGCTACAAAGCCCAGCAATTAATATAACAATGACAGAAATTTCTTCAATAAACAGATCAATGGAATAAAGTACAGAACACACTTTTACTTAGTTACTTAATCCACTACAAAATATCATTTTACTCCCATACAAGATTGCAGACAAAGTGATATTTTTCAGTATATGATGCTTTGTCAAATGGATATTCACATAGAAAATGAAATTCTAGCCCTACTCCCATGTCACGGATGAGTTTATTTCAAACAGACCACAGAACTGTAAAAGATTAAACAATAAAAATTCCAGACCATTACATAACACTTACATAACACCAAACTCTTAAATAGGATATAAAGGGCACTGACTATAACAGAAAATAAATTATATTTCATTAAAACTTAGAACTTGTTTTCATCTAAAATCATTAACAGATTAAAAGGCAAGCCACAAACATGGTATTTCTGCATGAGATTATAGAGATATCTGCAATATATATATCTAACAAAGGAGTCAAATCCAGAATATGTTAAAAGACTATAAGTCAATTTAAAAATGAGAAATTTGAATAGGAAATTCATAATGCATATACTCTATAACAAAACAGACCTAAATGCTCAATCAAGATATGAAAAGTACTTCAATTTCATGAATCATCAGGAAAATGCAAATTAAACCTATACTCCTTTACTACCACACACACTAGATAGGCAAAAAAAGGAAAGAAACTATCTAAATGCTGGTAAGAACCCAATGCAACTACTGCACAACTCACAATCAATGCTTACAGGACTGTAAATTGCAATAATCACTGTAGAAGATCATTTCCTAATATCTTTCAAAGCTGAACATATAAACTGTAACATAGAAATGCCATTTCCTAGTCATATCCAATAAAATATATTCATACAGTCACCTAAAGACACATGGAAGAATGTGGCAGAAGCACTTCTCCTAAAGGTTATAGCTACCATACTGACCAGTAGCAGAAATGACAGGCATTGACAAGTACCGCCCAGGGCATTACTGGAACTGAAACCATTGCATATTGCTGGAAGGAAATCAAAGAGTCTACTTGGAAAACAATTTGGCACTATATATTTAATACATAGTTTTCTGTATGAATACCAATTTTTATAAAGCTTACTTTTAAAAATGAAATACTATCACATACTCATCAAAATGTTAGTCTTTAATTACAGAGAAAAACAAATATGGGTAAAGATGTGGAGCAAGTACAACTCTCATACATTGTTGCTGAGAAAGTAAACCGGTACAACCACTTTGCAAAACTGCCTGGTGATACCTACTAAAATAGGACGTACATGCACCCCCTGATCCAGCTATTCTACTCCTAAGCATACACCAAACAGAAATCTATGTATGCATAAAACTTTCACTTAGAAGCATTAGTCAAAATTATCTAAAACATGAATCTAAAATTTTCATTCATACACTGGAAAAACAAATTGTCATATATTTATTTATGGGACACTATAAAGAATTACCTCTATATGCAAAATAAGTTTGAAACTTAAAATCTTAATGCCGAAAATCAGATAGAAATCAGGTATGGAGGTACACAACTGTAATCCCAGTACTATGGAGGCTGAGGTACAATGATTGTAAGTGCGAGCCCAGCCTGGGCAACTTAGTGACTTGGCAAAAAACTATCCCACATAAAAAAAATAAGGCCAGGCATAGTGATGCAAGTCTGTAATTCCAGCACTCAAGAGGCTGAGGCAGGAAGATAACTGCACATTTAAGGTCAGTCTGGGGTACATGATGAGTTCATGGACAGCCTAGAACACACAGTGCGACCTTGTTTCAAAAACAAATATAAATCTACACACATAAAATTTTAAAAGGAAAAGTCCTAAGTTCAATTCTCAACATGCAATTAAAAAAAGAAAAGGAAAACAATAAACTCTAGTAAGAAAAGAATACTAGCTACCACTGGAAGGTATGAATTTGATTGTTTCTGAGGTCCCAATGTTTTATATTTTAATTTGGGTAATAGGTACATGACTATATTCAATTCACAAAAAAGGTATCGAAAGGTACATTCAATGTTTGTCTGTCTATGTATCTGCTATACTGCAATTTTTCAAAATTTGTTTCCCCAAATTGCAACTGTACACTAAGCTAAAGAAGTAAAGGAAAGAATTTAAGGAATTCAACCAATCTCTATAATACTACTCTATTATCAATGAGGATATATCCCCATGTAAGGAACACAAGTAAGCTTAAAATAACTAGTGCATACTAGAAAAATATACAGAAAGAATGTTGTCTATTTTAGGAGTTTCCCCTAATATTAACAAGAAGTAAAAATAATGTTTAGGCAAACAAGAAGACAGATAATACCGTCTATAACTTCAAGAAATAAATTGAAAAATTAATTAGGAAACTCTTAAAAATAAGATGAATCAATCTTCTAAAAGGTATATATGACAAGTAACAAAAAGAGTCAGCAAATTGGCTCTCCATAGTCAATTTTCCCAAGGGGAGAGACTGGAACATTTTGATCCTGAATATGATTTTAAAGTTTAGAAAGTCACATTAGATACTTTATATAGTTTATTTATATTACTATATAAAATTGTATAAACAAAATCAAGTGTAATCCACTTGATAGTTAAACTTTGCTTTTTTTTTTTTTTCTTTTTTATCTTTTTGAGACAGGGTCTTTCTATGTGGTTCAGGCTGGCCTTGGGTTCACTTTGTAGCGCAGGCTGGTCTCAAACTTGCAATGATCCTCCTGCTTCAGCCCCCTGAGTGCTAGGATTACAGGAGTGCACCACCATGCCTGGTGGTTAGACTGTTTTTTTTTTTTTTTTTTTTTTTTTTTTGGCGGGGGGGAGGGTAGTACTGAGGATCAAACTCACAACCTTGCACTTGCCAGGCAGGAGCTTATGCCGCTGAGCTAAATCCCGGCCCCAGTAGTTAAAACTTTTGAAGGACAAATCTCATCACTAATTAAATGTAATTCCCTTGTACTATGTATATACATATGCATACATGTATTTTTATATATTCATATATATACATATCTATATATACACACGCATACATGTATCTATATATAACAATGTATATATATATATATATATATATATGTACTGACAAAAAAGATAAAAATTGAAACATCATTAAGAATTACAGAAGCAGGGCTGGGGATTTAGCTCAGCGGCATAAGCGCCTGCCTTGCAAGCAGGCAGTCATGAGTTCGATCCCTGGTACCGATAAAAAGGAAAAAGACAAAAAAAAGAATTACAAAAGCACTATTTCCACAATTATATTGGAAAGAATAGACTAGACAGAAATGGATTAGTGGGTTAATTTGTCATTTATTATATTTTTACTGTTGATAAGTTAAAAATCAGTTACAGGCGCCTTATTTAAGGACACAGAAATATCACCAGGAAAATCAAAACTGGCATTTGCTCTTTATCTTATCCAAAGGAAAATGAGATTGTAGCACAGGACTGCTACTTTTTATAAAATTTAAAGTATTATTTTACAGTTTTAATCATGAATGTGAACTACTGGTGATCAAAATGTTGAATCTTATTACAGAAGAATGCCATGAAAATTCTTACTTTATACTCTTTTTAAAAGCATATCATGGATGTTCATCCAATTTTATAAATACACATATATTGTATATAAGCATATTTGTAGGTTTGAAAATGTATCTGTGAAGAGCATAATAATGTTTCCTATTTATTGAAAAGATTAAACTAGGTAACATATATATAGCACTTAGCATGAAGCCTGGTATAAAGAAAAGGTTCAATATATTTAGCTATTATTGCTAGTACTGATTACAGACACATAGAAAGAAAGGCTCAACAAAAACATTAGCATTGATGGTGTTTATTAGGTGAAGTATTCAACATATTACAAGCACTCAACAGCTACTGACTAAATCAACTTTATCCAAGTTTTTAGGAAAAGATAGTTCTCTTCTAAGACTGTCAGATAAACAAATACTGCCTAATTTGAATAAAATTAAAGCTAAAACTAAAAAAAAGCATTTTAAAAAAGCATGCCCCAATCTCATTTTAAAAAAGCATGCCCCAATCTCATTAAAGAATTAATAGCAGCAGTAGTGGTTACCATGTAAAATACAAATTGCATATTAACTTTTCCTTCTAATGTTTTCTTGTATTTTAACTTTTTGTTGCAAACATGAGTTTTACAATTTGTTGGGGTTCAATGGGGAAATTGTCTAGAATGACAGCACACAGAAAATAAAAGCTTAAAAAGGTTAAAATTTTCAAATTATATTGTTTTTATACATAGAATAATTACTGATCCTTACATATCTACAAGATGATATAGAAATACAATTCTTCTTGCAATATTTAACTAAGGAAGTACAAATAAGGGTGAAATTAAAGTTAAAGAAGGAAATGCTTAAACTTTCCTAGATAAAGCTCCACAGTATCCACTTAAAGTTTAGCACCCTCTGTAACAGGCCAGTGAAGAAAACTAAAACCCAGAATGAATAAATATAACTTCTGATTAACTGTAGAGAATGGGGCATATAAAGTAGAATAAACATACTTGTGAAAAATATATTCATTATCATTCATCCCCTTATTTTACAAAAATTGTCCATAATATCTTCTAGCAGCAGGTTCACAATCTTCTGTGTAATAAGAAGCACCTTAGCTCCTCAGTTAAATATTCAAATGAAACATAAGGGGAATCAAAGAACAGCACCCAGAAATGAGAAGAAAAGAAACAATGGTAATGTGAACATTATCTCTGACAACCACATGTGCCCTCAAGTATATCCAGCATGGGGAACTCCAACGCCAAGCTTACCTGTGCATATTCTCTTTCAATAGCAGCCTTCTTCTGACTGAATGTCCTAAAAATACAAATACAAATTAATTATCAAAATGTAACTTACTAACCTTGTGTAAATTTATCAACACACCTTCAAATATTGCCTGGGAAATGTATTTTATTCATCTTTATCTGCTTAGAGAGACTGCTACCGGGAGTAGCAGTCTCTGCAGTTAGACAATGTACATTCAAGACGGCTCTACCACTATAGGTATGATCTTAGATAAATCATTTGACTTCCCTGTGACTCAGTCTCCTTCATACTTTTCACATAATAACATTTATGGCCAGGCACACTGGTAGTCCCAGCAACTTGGGAAGCTGAGGGAAGAGACTTGCTTGAGCCTAGTTTTTCTGTTGTTATGGTTGTTGTTGCTGTTGTTTTCTTTCTTTTTTTGCGGGGGTGGGGGGGGGGAGTGTTGCGACAGGATCTTGTTTTGTAATTCATGCTGGCCTTTAACTCATTAAGTAGCCCAGGCCAGACCTGAACTTACAGCGATCCTCCTGCCTCATCCTCTTGAGTGCTAGGATTACAAGAGAGTACCACCACGCTCAGGTTTGGTAGGGTCTCACTGTGTAATCCAGGCTGGAGTCTCTACTTGCTATGTGAATCAGGATGGACTTCAACTTGTGATCCTCCTACCTCAGCCTCCCCAGTGTACACCACCCCACCTAAGTTGAATCCAGGATTTCTGGGTCAGTCTAGGCAACATAGTAAGACCCCATCTCTTCAAAAAATTTTGTAAATTTATGACACCGGGATGAATCTTTATAACTGGTAGTATTTTTCCCTATTTTAATGGTTAATAAAATAACAGCTAACTTATAAACCTCAGGCATGGGGCTGGGGATTTAGTTCAGCGGCATAAGCACCTGCCTTGCAAGCAGGCTGTCGTGAGTTCGATCCCTGGTACCGATAAAAACCGAAAAAGACAAAAAAAATAAACCTCAGGCATTGCATAATCAACAAAATATGATACTGGTAATTTACCTTGAATATTCTGAATTAAAGACTTGTCTGTTATATGCTAGAAATCTGTGCTGAAAAACCACTGCACCCCATGAAACATACACACACACACACAACCCAATTTGGTGGGGAGAGAGGTTGAGACATGGTCCCAGTATGTAATTAAGGCCATCCTTAAACTCACTAAATAACCCAGGCTAGCCTCAAATTCATGATGATTCTCCTGCCTCAGTCTTCTGAATGCTGGGATTACAGGTATGTAACACATGCCAAGCTCAATCAAAACTTTTGAGTGTACTTCTAATTGTGGAAGTCAGCATCTGGATAAATACATGAAAGTATAAGATAATATTTGATTCACACATCTGTAATCTCAGCACTCTGAAAGGCTGATCCAGGATGATAAGAAGCTCAAGCCCAGACTGGACAGTTTAGTGACTCAGAGAGACTCTGTCTCAAATTTTTAAAATGGTAGAGGGGTTTATAAACTCTGTGAAGTTTCATCTCCATTACTGCCATAGAGAGAGACAGGCATATAATATCTGAAACTCTATGTCTAGCTAAGTGTCAAAATTTCTTCTATAAATAAAAGTTCTCAAAGGGGGCAAAAAAGCAGGTCCTACCTGCACTAAGGCAGAGACATAAGAAGTGGAAAGAATAAACGAGAGTGCCCTGGAATAGGAAAAACGGCAAGAAGACAAAACACTGGAAAAAGTATTTAAGTTTACCAATATGACTTAAGAAATGTAACTATAAATAACTGTCACTATAAATAACTGTAACTGTAAATTCATACTATATTTGTTGAGTGAATAACTAATTTTTTAACATTAAAAATATAAAATGAAAAAGACCCTTTAAATCTAAAACTTGATGTATGTATAAGGGTATTTTAGATTATCTCTAAGAAATGAGTCTATACAATTAACACCTCCAATGTATTCAAGGGTTAAGCAATAAAAAGATTCTGAGAAGATGCTGGGATAGGAAACACCAGGAATCTGTGTTCCATAGAACAACAAAGTCACGATACTGCCTGTTTCATCTAACCATTTTGGAACTAGGGAGTCAACTACAGGCATCCTACTTCTAAGAGAAAGCTTAGATAATAGTGATTAATTTGATCTAATTTCAATCAGGACAGTAGGCGCCACCTCTCTCTACCCCTAAGTCTGTGGCATGCAGTTGTGCACTTTGTTCCAGGAGCAGCCTGCAAACACCAACCACAGTCAAGATGGGAAAAATGAAACCCACCTTTAAGATTGTGCTATGACTGGGCTGGGGATTTAGCTCAGTGGCATAAGCGCCTGCCTAGCAAGTGCAAGGTCATGAGTTCAATCCCCAGTACCACAAAAAATAAAAATAAAATAAAAAGATTATGCTATGGCTGATACTGCAAATTGTGATGGTAGAGGTAGAAAGAGAGGGCAACCATTGTTGCTCAGTCTCCTCACTTTCATGCAAGTCCCTCTCCCTCTGGCTGCAGTGATTTCTAGAGAATTTAAAGGGTCACTGCCTTTTTTAGCCCTATGGAGGCTAAACCACAAAAACCCTGATAAGTTGACAGGATCTATAATTAGGATTAAATAAGGAGTCAAAAATCTTCCAGCAAAATTAAGCCCTGGACTTGATGGTCTCACTGTGAATTTCATTAAACTTTTTAAAGATCACTAATTTTTCTCAAGCATTTCCAAAAATACTAAAGGAAAGAAACACTCTCCAACTCTTTCTATGGACATGCATCATCTTGATACTGCAGATCAACTTCCCTTATGAATACTAAAAGCAAAAATCCTCCACAAAAAACTAGCAAACCAAAACCAGCTGCATATTAAAAGAGCTATACATCACGATCAAGTGGGACTTATTCCTGAAAACCAGTGATTCAGCATACAAAAACTGAATACTGAAACCGAAGAAAAAAAACTACATGGTCATCTCAATTGATACAGAAAATGTATTTAAAATATATTCTCTCAATACAAAAATAAAAATTATAAACAGAACTATTCAACATAATAAAATTCATATATGAAAAACCTACTATTAAATATTATACTCAACTATAAAGGACTGAAAACTTTACTTCTGAGATCAAGGCCAAGATAAGGATGCCCACTTTTACCACTGTGTATGCATGTGTGTGTGTGTGTGTGTGTGTGTGTGTGTGTGTGTGTGCATGTATATGGTACTGAATACCAAACAGGGCCTTCACACTCAGCTATATACACTGTACATTTTTTATATTTTATTTGAAACAGAATCTCACTAAATCACCAAATTTGATTCAAACTTGCTAACCTCCCAAAGTGATGGAATTACGATCATGAGTAACTATACTTAGCCCCTTCTGCCACTTCTTCAGCACAGTGCTATAAATACTAGCAAGAACAATTAGGTAAGAAAAAGAAATAAAGACATCCAACTTGCAAAGAAGTAAAATTATCTCATCACAAATGGTATAATATTTTATGTAGAAAAATCTTAAATATTCTACAAAATACTTAGTAAAACTAATAAATGGATTCAATAAATAAAAGGATACAAAGTCTCATAAAATTTAGTTATGTTTATATGATGACACAAAATGAAATTTTAAAGTCACTTAATATCAAAATAAATATAAATTAATTTTAACAATGAAAATTATAAAACACTTCTCAAATTAAAGAAAAAACAAGGTAAGTACAAATCTTGAAGACATAGCGGTAGGCAAAGAGTTCATGAACAAAACACAAACTGCATGGGAAGTACTTCCCAGAATCAACAACTGGGACCTCCTCTTATTATAAAGTCTTTGTACTTCAAAAGAAATTACCAACAGAGTGAAGAGAAAACTTACTTCAGCCAGCTGTTCCTCATACAGTTATATCTAGAACATATAAAGAACTGAAAAACATCAAGCCTCCTAAATTCAAAGATTCAATCTAAAAATGGGCATCTGAAATGAACATGCATTTCTCAGATGAAGAAATGCAAATGGAAAATAAATACATGAAGACGTGTTCAACATCACTGGTCATTCAAGAAATGCAAATTAAAACAACACTGAGATTCCATCTCATTCCAGAAAGAATAGCCGCCATCAAGAAATCAACTGATAACAAATGTTGGTGAGGCTGTGGGGGGAAAAAGGAACACTGCTCCACTGTTGGTGGAAGTGTAGACTGGTACAGCCACTATGGAAATCAGTGTGGAGATTCCTCAAAACACTAGAATTAGAAGTCCCACTTACTTACTCCACCTATTCCCCTTCTGAGTACTTTCCCAAAAAAATTGAAAATGTCATACCACAGCAATATATGTGCACCCATGCTTATAACAGCACAATTTGTAATAGTCAAATCTTGGAAACAACCAAAGTGCCCATCAACTGCAGAATAAATAAACAAGATGTGGTATTTTTCTACAATGGCATATTACTCAGCTATAAAAAGGCTTTTATAGTAAATGGAGACCACTTGAGACTATCTCATAAGTGAAATAAACCAAATTCACATTTATAAATATCATATTGTCTCTAGTATAAAAATAAATAAAAATATGAAAGAGTAATAAGATCCAAAATACATAATAGATATTGTAATAATGAAAGGGAAAGAAAGTATTCAAAAGGACAGAAATACTGGGATAGGAAAAAAGGAAGAAAGGAAAAGATTATACGTATGTTGGTAAACATTTATAAATGTATGTATTTGTATGCTAGGTAGATAACTATACTACTAATTTCTCTCAGTTCATCAAAAAGAACAGATTGTGCTGTCATTGTTTGATCACTTGTGTCTAGATTTTGTAACCTAAACAATTAGTTCTGAGATAACAATATGCAGCATATTAACTAGTGTTAATTCCCTTTTTTTTTTCTTTTTTGAAATTCTGTATCATTTCTAACCTTTTTTTTCTGTTTTGCTTTTCAAAGTAAAAAAAATGAAAAAAATTCTGAGGAATAGTGAATACTGAGGGTGGTCATCAGCTAATAAATAAGCTTATTTTAAAGGAAGATCAGTATTTTTTTAAAAAAAAAAAAACATACTCCTAGATGCGTACTTCAG